GTTGCTGTGTCTCCGTCCCTATGTATGCTTAAATCTTTAAAACTTCGCAGCGGATATTGAAGCGGTTTTTTTAAATAAATAGAGTGATTCTAGAAGAAGTTTTATATATATAATACATGTACACCCGGGCGAAGCCGGAGCTAGTAGGTAGTAATTAGTATAGTTTTGATCTCGGTTTGTTCTACACTATAACACGCATGTATTATACATATAAACTTTCCTCTTGAATCACATTAATATATATATTTTATAACTAGAATAGAAATAGAATAATAAATAAAGATAAAATAATTAGTTATATTATAACTATATATTTATATAGTTGTTTAATTACTATTATTACTAAACTACGGCACACTAAAATGTGAAGTAAATAATATATAGGTATATATTATTATTTACTTCACATTTTTTTTAATATAAATTCATTTAGAAACTGATATAACTCAAAAAGGACTGCGCAAGTAAAACGTTTTTCTCGGTCTTAGCAGGCATGATTAACTATTTTTTTTAGGATTCCTTGACTTGAAATAAAAATTAAAGTCTGATGCAACGTGAGATTATATTACTATGTAGAGAATGTAGGGTTGCGTGGGCCCTTTCTATGCATAACTCGTTTCAACTGAAAAAACATTGTTGATTTAAAACATGTTCTTTTAATTTATGTATCTCATTCATCTAAAATACGTTCAACGTTATAGGTCTCATACCTATTACAGATTTATACCTATTTTTTATTGTATTGTTCTTAAGAATCTTAGTTTCTTATTAACAAAAATACGTACATATATGTGATAAAATTATATCAATGTAGGTATACGTGTCTTTGATAATGATAACAAAAAGTCATTTTTTGAATCCAACCTAATAGTATAAGTATAAATATAAATGTGTATTTGGCTATGTGTAAGGTAACACATTATTATTATTATATTTATTAGTATTATGCGGACATAGGCTATCTTTTATCTCATAAAATAATATGATTGAGGATGAAAGTCTCGAAACAGCTACTAACGCATTAAAAAAACTTTATTATGAAGTACCTATTACGAAAATAATTCGTTTGTTTCTTTTTTTGCACTGAATAACGAAATCCATGTAAGTCATTCACGTTATATAGCGTACTAAATAAAGGAGATTTATATATTTGTCTATGAAACCATTCACACGAATTCAACACGCAGCTGCGTATTGCGAACGGAATAGTGAAGTTTGTGTAGTTCACAAGCGATCTAGTTCGGTAGAGCACTCCCAAAGACGAACTACGCAAATTTGTTCGCAGATCTTTCGCTCTTTAGTTTGTTTCATAAAACGCAAAACGTCTTGCTATAAAAACAAGAACGCACACTCGCGCGGGATAATAATTCATATATAGTAATTATCTGTATATTTATATATGTTATTACATTTATATGCACACTGTATTTTTGTAAAGTTAAATAAATAAATAATACTAATAGACGTGGAAGTTGACTAGCCATTCTCTGAATCGAGTGGGATGCGAACTAAAAGAATGAACTGGAGAGAGAGCTGCGAACTAAATTGAACGATTATGCTCAAGACTATAACGCACCAACGACAGCCGGCAGATGGTTGTGAAAGCTGCGCTGGCTCAGGTAAGGGATTCCGAGAACGCCGAATATAATCGCAATACGGGGAAGTGCCTCTCGCGTCGCACGCGGACACCTGCGTGCCTTCTACGCTACCATGTTTAGGGCAGCCATTAATACCAGAAATCAATACCGGACTTTTTCTCAATTATAATTTTGAAGAATTAAAAAAGATTTATTTATATATTATGCACACTGTACAAAAAGTAACAGTACATTTGTTGGATTAATACATATTTAAAAAATATGACAGTGCAAAGTGCAGCAGCACTTTTTTTCGGGTTACTCTAATGCTGCTACAGCTTCTCCGGGCGATAAGGGCGAGTGCAGATGGCACTTCAAACCGGAAGGACTTATGGAGCGGCTGAAGGCCAACTCTCGCCTGGGTCATCACGGTACCTACGAAGTAATCAGTAAAGTCAATCTCGTTTAACATTATTTGTTAAACCTTTATTGACTTTTTTGGAGTTATCATTGCTACTTAAGGCCAACGGTTTACAATTGCCACTACAGGACAGTCCTGTAGAATGCGAAACGCATGGTCGCTTTAGTCGTGTTGAAATTCTGCCATGAGTTTAGTTAGACATCACGTCCCAACTCCAAATTCCGTCTGATTGTCTTCCACGTTATCAACTATGTGTGTAATGCTAAGAAAAACGTGAATCACTTTTCACGCGTATGCATTGTAGGTAGGTATAACGCTTATTCATTTTGTGAAAGTAAATATGTAGTAGATTTTGTACAAAGTCGATTGCGCGGGTACGGGCCGGAATTTGGTTGCTCTTCTAATTACATAAAAAACAGCAATCTCATACAGACAGTTACGTCAAAAATAATGACTTTTTGCCTTTCCCTGAAATGGGAAAAACCGAACAAAATATAAACTTTTTTTATTTATCCTTATAGGAAAGGCAAAGAGTCTAAGCCCATACAGCCTTTGCTTGGTTTATGTTTCGTGATATTTTAGGAAAGTCGGAATAGTGCGCGAGACATTCAAATCCTTATAAATGAATAGACACTTTAATAGGTACGTTACGTCAAGAAAATCACTTTATTAATATAATTTTTCTAACTACCCAAATTCTTTATTAATTTTAATACTTTTTTTAATTAGAGAAATGATTTACCAATGAAGATTTTGATAATTGTATTTATTTGGAATGTTAGAATTAATCATTGATTTCTATATAATCGGTGACTTCAAAAGTGGATGTATGATTCGATAGTTGTTTACAACAATTTGATAACTTAATATGTTATGATAAAACAAAACCCTTGTTAAGTACTACATTACTGACCATTTTGTCACCTAATAACCTAATATCCTGCTTACAATTAAAAGGTTTTATTTGCACACTATTATTCACAATATTCACAAATATTTTGTGAAAATTGTGTATAAATATTTAATAATTTTTTTATTGTTATGGCTCGGCACAAAATGCATTCGGCAAAGATAAGTTTGGGAAACTTTACAATGTACTTAGTTTTCTTCTGAGTTTAAAAATAAACTATTATATTCTTTAACGTTACTCCATTAAGAATGTATACATTTAAATACGTAATGTCTAACGTAGTTTACTAGCAAATCAAACAATATATTTATGAAGCCGTTATACTTAAGTAGGTAGGAATTCTTATAGTTTAGGATTAATTTCGTGTATATTTTAAATTTACTACCCACGTAGCTTATTACTGTATAACCACAGATAAGATAATATTTCATAGTATAACTAATGGTAACCAGAGTTGCTAACCTTAAAAATTTTAAATATCTGATAAATACTTGTATAATAGTATAATTGGGCATTCTAACAGTATAGTATTTTTATTACAATTTGTACAAACTCGTTCAGAGTTGAATATACTCTTGTTGAAGTTAAAAAATCTCATATTTGTACGAGTATCCTCGGACGGTTGGCATCCCATGTCGTGATTAGTGACGTTTACGTTATTTAATAACAGATATATCTTATCACTATTGAAGTAGTTACTAAGGCGATAATCATATAGGCATAGACATAGATAATAAATCGTTAACGAACCGTGTCTCTATATTTAATATATAAAATATGTACACGTTAAAACGTGTACCATGGTAAAAAAATATAAGTATTTTTCTAAATGAAAGTATGTTTTAAATACAAGTGTGTTTGTACACGATAATCTAAAAATCTCTTTATTAGTCAGAGAAGACAGAAAAATAACGTTATACTAATAAAAAATTGTATTATAATAATTAAAACATGTAATAACAGAGTCCGTGCGATCAACATAATGGAAACTAACTATGGAAATATTTTATACAGATTTTCCTTTGTTTTACAATTACATATTAAAAAGCTTTTGAACGGTACGTTTACGCTATAGTTGAAAAATATATAGCAACATTACTATTACTATTATTACACAGAATACAATTATGGATTTTTCCAGATACCTAATTATTCAAAATGTACTTTATATATCTATTTCAAATAATCACATTATTTATTAGTTTAACAACTGATTGCCGATATCAAAACGAAAAAATATTGGTACTTACAAATTTCTAGGATTCTGATAAGAGCAGATAATTCTTGGATATAGGTGTTTTTAAAATCCAGGTACTTAGTGATTTTCTGAATAGTACCATTATAGGAAATCTTATCTGTGAACCGATAACTTAATTCTCATATGAATGCAACGCGTTATTAGTTTTCGCGGTAACGTTTTATACTTTTACATGATTACATAGAATCTAGATAATATTATCTTATGTACGTACTTACCTACCATATGCTATTATTAGGTTATGGATGCGTTCACATTCTGTTGCATAATGCTAATGATGTAGCTCTTTTTACTAATAATTATCTGATCCAGACAAGGAAAAGTAAAAGGTTAATCTATATATATAATATTTGGCGAATATTAATCGGCTAATGTAAACGTATTAGAGTAGCTGGATATATTGAATTAAAAAAAATACATATGTTAAAAATATTAATGTATTGATTTTCAGTTCATTTTTTACGTTGTTTTAATAGCCAAAAGAAGGGTGCGATAACGCAACTTAATCGATTATTTTATCATCATATTATAACTTTTCGTTATATTTCAAACTTTCTATGTTACCAACATGTTAATCACACCGTCATCAAATTTATTTATAAAACCGACTTTATATTGAAGAACAAAATTTCTTGTTGGTATAACTGGTTGATTATTGTGAATGAATTCTCAGAAGTTAGTGAATGTTCAAGTTTTATATGCGATTTTAGCCTCATCTCGTCAGTACAGTTGTCCTCGTTCGAATCCCCTCTTCTGTCGAGTGTGCAAGAAGCGCCAGAGATCACAACGCTCAACAGACGTTCAAATCAATTTACAAACAGCGCAGCACAACGTGTCGCTAGTCGCGAGTGAGCAGTGCGTACGTAGTGGTTGACGCAGAAATAATATCGCTTTGCTCTGTCCGTTCATTATTGCTGCTCAAGCGTTCATTCCGTTTTGAAACGTTCAAGCACTCGCTTGTGTCGTAATGTGGTATTTAATTCACTTAGTTGTTATTTAAAGTCTCGTTACTATTGTTATTTTTACTCTGTGCTTTTTAAGTGACATTGCATTAAAAAAAAGTTATTAGTTTCCTTCTTGTGTATTTTTAAGTGGATTATGAGAATAATATTGTACAATCTTCAGCAATTTTAATGAAACTTACTCAATATCGTTATTATCATAGGAAGTATAATTATAGGACAAAACTTTGCATTCGTGTACAACCAATAATGTGTTCATAAATACGACCAATCTGAAGTTTAGTTGAGTGTGTAAATTACGAATTGTGGCCTTCTGAGAATTGGCTGTTGGGTTGCACAACGGCTCAGCATAGTGGAACTGTGAATACTGTGAAAAGCAAATGTGCGTGGTACAAATAATAGAGTCGAAAAAAATTCCTTTCAATATGACGTTGGCTGCGAGGTTATCTCCTCATAGTAAGTTTATTTTTTAGTTACAAGCAATATAAATCGTTATCAATATTTTAATATGCTTTAAGTTTTAATAATTGAACTAAAAAAAATTCAGTTTAATTATGCATTCATTATGTTTACAATTGATACTGGTAATAATTGGGGCTTTATTTATATTAAGTATTATTTAATAATAATAATAATAATAAAGACATTTATTCAGCATTACAGTATTCTTAGATGCTATCTATCTTAAATACTATACAATTTAAAAGCTAAAAGCTAAAACATAGTAGTAACGCTGAATGTGACTCTGTATTATGTTCATTTATACTGCAGTATATATATTTCACATGCTGATTTTCAGTGGGGTATATATGACTGCATATATATATATATATGCTGAGTTTCAGTTATTTAACTAAGTACTTATATAAATGAATTTAACTATTAATTATTTTAACCTATAGAATTACATTAAATTAAAGTAATTCTATAGGTTATTATATATAAATAGGAACTAGTTTATAGTTAAAATATGGTTTCTGTATTATGTTCTTTTTCAAAATTAAACTATTCATTTCATATTCCTATTTTAAATTAGAAGATATTTCTTAAAAAATATATTTTTTATATATCTTGTTTCCTGTTTTTTTTTAAACCAAGTTCTGAATATATTCCTGCAAGAGACATGTGTCATAAAGTTTAAATTTATATATTATCATTACGTACATATGTTTATTATATGCATGTTGTATGTTAATCACTATATGAAGACCCTGTGGTACATTAATTAATAATAATAATAATCTCAGGACAATTCACACAGCGCCATCTAGTCCCAAACTAAGCTAGCTAAAGCTTGTGTTGTGGGTACTAGACAACTGATACAAATACATTTTTTATATATTTGTATTATTATTAATATATTTTTTTTTCTGTAAATACATACATATTATACATAAAAAACACCCAGACCGATACAAACAATTCTACTCATGAATACAAATGTTTGTGCCATGTGAGGAATCGAACCTGCAACCATCGGACGTAAAGCATTGTGCTAAACCATTAGACCTCCGAGGTCAAGGTACAATTGATGTTAACCATGTATATACTTGAGCAGTACCACATACCACATCATGTGACTTGTGGTACTTTCTATGCGTTGCCATTCACATGGTCTGAGATGTCATGTAATTTCACTGTTCAAAGTAAACATAGCAGCTATTTGGCAGCTGATGTGTAACTAAAACCAACATTAACTTTCAGAAATCTACTAGGGGTTTAACTTTAAGGTTGTTTTTCCTATAATATAGTTATTTTAATCTGTATTAGTGTAGGATATAAGGTTATATTATTTGTTAAATAACTATTCCATTTATTGTTCTTATGATGATAGAAATGCTTTTTGAATGAGTTATTAAAAAGAGAGAATTATTAAAAAAAAAATCCATTGAATTTCTTGAAAATTTTTCTCAATTTAATCTGTATACTGAACTGGATAAAAATGAATGAAAAAATATTTATTTAAGCATTTGAATAAAAAATGTTACTTGTCTGAATAACTATTGCTTGATTGATAATATATGTACTAAAATTACATTTTCTCCCATTTCAGATCCATGTCTAAATGTGGGTGTACCAGGGGTCGGCATTGCCGCCAGCTGTCCAACCTGCAGGAACGAGTTCTTGCTGAACTTGACCCCCATCTCCGGCAAGTGGCCGACACACCATCACTCTCCAGCTACCTCACCATTCACCACTCGCCCAGTATACTTGCCACACTCGCCGCTGTACGCCAACCCATGTTCACCATTCTACCTGCGACAATACAAAGACGGTATCCGGATAAAAGACACATTTGATGTGCTGAACCTATCAGGATGGTATTACGAGGATTTAGATTTACAGGTATGTTTATTATATAATTTTTTAAAAGTAGCCTGAACATAGTACAATATCAATGTAGTTATCGGATATTAACATCAGCTGATGCTATGGCTAGCGCAACCTAGTCAAAAGTCAGTAGAGGTAAATATCCTATTTACTATACCAAGAGATAATAATAATTATAATAATCTCAGGACAATTCACACAGCGCCATCTTGACCCAAGTTAAGCTAGCTAAAGCTTGTGTAATGGGTACTAGACAACTGATACATATACATAGATATCTTTTTTTGTAAATACATACATATTATACATAGAAAACACCCAGACCGATACAAACAATCATACTCATGAATACAAATGTTTGTGCCGTGCGAGGAATCGAATCCGCGACCAACGGTCGTAAAGCGATGCACTAGACCGCTGGACCACCAAGGTCGTCAATGTAAAAATCTTATTTACTGTGCCACAAGTTTCTATCCCCTAAGTATATCATTTATTTATTCATGGCTTGCCTTAAATATGGTACAATGTAGGTTGGCTTTAAAATTGTCTCTCACATTTAAGCATCACTGACTTGCAACAGCTAACATTATTAATCATAAATTTATTAGTCACGAAAAAGTTCTGCAAGCCCTTCCCCAAGGTTTGAGGTGACTTTTATTCTCGCCAACTTATATATCTAAGGCATGTATGAACGGCATGACAGAATTATAAATTCGTATGTATGTATACATAAAACTATTAGACAGTATATATGTTCACTCCTACATTGTTATAATATATCTATAGCAACAACATTCGCGTTTAACGTCAGTTATCTATCTGAGAATGTTATATTTTCTAAAATAGCACAAGACTTGTTTATGAATGCCTATCAATCACTTTGTTATTTAATGCGAAAAAACATTGAACTACGATATGACCTCAGACATTAGCCAGCGTTCTAGGAAGAAATTCCTCCAACAAGCAAGTTGTAAATCATTACTAATCCTATGTTTTATCATAAAAGAGACTGACAAATTGAGTTATAAAAACTTCGACTGACAAAGTTAAATCTTTAGTAATCTTGTTTTATTATGAAAAAGACTGACAAATTCTTGAGTTCTAAAAACTTTGACTGCTAAGAAATCTATAAATGAATAAGCTTATCCACAGATCCCAAGGATGTACTAAGATTAAGGTAGTTAATACATTAAACTATAGAAATCATTACGCAATTCTCTATACATAAAAAATTAACAAAATGCTTATACAGCTCTCATGGAAATCTTAACATCGAGATGTAGCATAAAATTATTAAAACTAACTGACACCATCTAGTGGTGCAGTTGTAAAACTAAAAAAAGATACAAATATTATCTCCTATAATTGTACAATAAAGCACTTCTTTAAGAAATGTTGTACTGAATCTGAAGGTTAAAATCTATTTTTACAAAATTGTCTGTAAGAATATTTTCCTTGTTCCCATAATTTATTATAAGTTATTTAATATGTCATGACTACTCATTGAATAATTATGGACTATGACTGATATTGTTTTCTGAATCTAAATATAACAACTAAGATTACAGTCCTCTTTTCTAGATAAATAACATGTTTCAATAATTTCCAAGTATGTGATTATGCCCAATCATTACGACTGGGATGACATCATTAATGACAGAGGCCAGAAATGGGTTTTTAAATATATATATAGTCAACTTTGCATTTAGTAATGAATCTGGTACTATTAAGTACATTTATTATCGCCATTTTTAAATGTATCTTAAATATTTGCCTTTAATATTTTATATAAAATGGAACATAAGTTTTAGATAATGCATTTGGGAACCAGCCACTTAATATTGTCTATATAGATTAGTTTTGAATAGTACACCAACATGAAAGTCATGTAGATTAATTGTAAAACTAAAATGACAAAAAAAAACAGAATTGGCAAACAGAAAATATACTTTGAACTTTCATATGAATGGTAAAGTGACCGCACCATGTAAGGTTGAAAAATTATTTATATTTTCCTTTCACATCTATAAATTTCTTGAGGTTTCATCATGAGTTCACCAATTTCGGTTGGGTGTATACTCTTTGCAAATAATATTTTTTATTAATTAGATGCTAAAACCTGTAGTACTGCGACCAGCATAGATCTATTGTGCTTGCCTTTTTTCAAAGTAGTGTAGTGTAGTACTAGGTAGTGAACCTAGTCCCGTCTGGGACAAGAATTTAATAATACTCTTAGGCGCGATGGTTATACTGTTTACTAATGTATCATTTTCTATCTTTCCAGGGTGCCCAGAATTTACTGAAGGATGCAAGCATAGGCGCATTCCTAATACGGCGGTCTGGTGATAAGAATTTTATTTTCTCCCTCTCAGTACAAACGGACCGAGGGCCCACGTCGGTTCGGATACATTTTGAAGATGGATTCTTTAGGTGAGCTTCTTTTACCTTTTATTTGTATTCTAAATTATTAAGAAACCAAACCATTTAAATATATACTTAATATCAAATAATTAAGGTGTATGCAGTGGTTCGGACATCCCTAATTGTTGTATGTTGGGATGTAGAGACAGCTTATTTAATTTTAATACTTCTCTGATTGAGAAGTGCCTGTTAAATTCGTTACTAAATTATAATTTTAAATACACATTGTGTGTGTATGTCAGAATAATGTTTATTTTTTTCACCTTTTAAATCAGTTTTGTATTGTGGAACAATATGTTTATTAATTCATAATTGAATAGAGATACATTGGAATAAGTACCATTGTCCCGTGATAAATAACTACTTCATGCATTTAAAAAATAAAGTTAATTTATGTGACATAATTGAAATAGTATGTGCAATTTAAATATATTTCTTATTTTATTAATGTTAGCTTATTTTTATTACAGGTTAGACTGTGACACATCATTAGTTAAATATATGCCGCGGTTTAGATGCGTGGTCGAGATGGTGCAGCACTACATACTCATCGGGGAGAAGGGCGCCGCCGGCACTGTGTGGGTCAACCGGGAAGGCTGTCCCCATTCGCCCGTCCTACTTACAAGCCCCTTCAGAAAGAACCCACCAAGTTTAAAAGAAGCCGCCCGGCTCGCCATACACAAATCTTTAGACTCGAACCCCTTGAAGCCAAAACTGTGGTCTGCCCCTAAACACAGGTTATTACCGTTGCCCCCTACATTAATAGACTATCTCGGCAAATATCCATACTCGATCTAACACTAGGATCTGTGTAATTTATTTAGTCAATAGCATCTAATATTGAATGATGTTTATAGTATATGAAATTGAGAGAGAAAATAATGTGTTGAAGGGCGTATAATTGAATAATAGATATATTGTGAGCAACGTACGCCCGTTATCATAATGCTGTATTTTGTTTGTACAAATGCATTGTATGTAATCTGTGTCTAGTACAGGATGCTAGTGTAAAGGGCTGGACCTTTTATTTTTAATAGCAAACTAACAAACTATTAATTTATAATAATGAACTGTATTATTTATAAGTATTCAATATGGGACTCAACTATGGTATTTAGTGGAATTTTTACGCAAATTATTATTTCTTTTATAAGTCAAATCTGTGTCTGTATATAGAGATTTGTGCAAATAATGCAAGACTGATCATGAATGTCTAATTGTAAAACTGTTTTACTGTCGCGTGTTGTTCCTTTCTTGTGGCCAGTATGTACAAAGTACGACGGACCTGTGGCACTTTGTATGCGCAGCCCTACAATAATGCAGCCCGCACTTAACTACTGATATTGTTATTTTAGTAAATTGTTCACTAATGCCTAATCTTGTCCATCGTGTTAAGAAATCATCACATTATTTTATATAATTATATTTCTATTAATTTATTTATTGGCTAAGAGTAGATTTACTTGTTCACTAAAGCATAAAAGCTGATATTTTATCTTTGTTCCTACGTTTCTGTTAAGTCCTACATCCATTGACATCTGTTTTGTGTAACGATATACGGCACCGACTGTACTAAATCTGCTAGTTTTTAATTAAAACTTAGTGCCATCAAACATTAACTACAAATCTGAATTTGCAGCAGCAATTTATTATCCAATGGAAGTATTTTTGAGGCTGAAGATGTATATAATTCTTGTTTTTGTTTTCTATTTATTTCATTATCGTAGTTAAGTAAATGAATGATGTCGGCAGGTTGAAACCATGTAATGGTTATTCGGTATACTATATCGTCGTAAAGTAGAAGGCAGGTTTGGCTAGTGATGTTCACTAATGTAGAATTAATTAACTGTACCTTAATAATCTCAATTAGAACGTATTTAGGTTTCACCATCATTGTATAGGTGTCAATATTTACATCCACATAAATTATTTAATCGGCGTTATGCACGAGGCAACTGTCAAATTCAGGAGATTTTCTCGCTGAACATAGAAAATGAATGTTATTTAATTTAAACAAGATTATTTTTATACAATTTTGTAAGGGGAAGCACCAACTACCTAAATAAGTGTGACATAATAGAAGGAAACTCGTGTTTCGATGTTTATAGAAATAATGTATAAAAAGAACTGCAAATAATTTATTATAAAAAAATATACATTCTGTCTTAAAAGATTTCGTTTTATTTAATACTAGTGGTCTGCCCTGGCTTCGTTGGGCCGTTCATAACTTTGTGAGTTTTGTGTATATTATAAAATACATAGCTTATGTATGTGCGGGTGTGTATACATGAATTATGTAAGTCATTCTGGAATAATGCACCAATTCAAGCAGCGAAATAATATATCAATTGGTGTTCTTGTTCCGAAGTTAAGTAAACTTCGGAACAAGAACATCAATTGATATATTCTCAACAAAATTCTACTCTCTTATAGTTGACAAATTCGACGAAAATTATGGATAATGTACCTAAATATAATGGTTGTAGTTGTGGGCTCGTACCTTACATTCGCAGTTATTCGTCTTACTACCATTATAATAATAATACAATACTCAAAACATACGATATAAATTTATGCACACAGATGAAAGTATATTAAATTACATTCGGTTCTATGAAAATATTGTCGCTATCTTGTACTCTGAATCGCTGGTATCTACATTTCATATATGTAACCAGCTATTCCCGCGAATTCGTCCGCGTGGAATTTCTCTTCTTTTTATTTTTCTTCTGTAAATCAATCTAAGTTAATTAGATAACAGCAGTACAAATGTGTAATATTAGACTTCCGACCATCAAGCTACCCTCCTTTGACGGAAATAACCAAATAGACTAAAGATCCTTCGAATCTCTCAAAATGGAATTTAACTTTATTTTTCTAACAATAAAGTCCCGTTATATGGTAGTACACAAAAAGTTACAATCATTTCAGAGATTTGATCAGCTTTGAATTTTTACGTAGTCCTAGCCATAAAAAGTCAATTAAACTTGAAAGTCAAAATCGGTCCAGTCATTATTCATGGATAGCAAAACAACTACAATTAGTAAATACAAAGATTTGTAACGCATACAATTATCAGTCTTCCTTCGTATCTTTTCGCCAAACAAAATAAAAACAAAATTAATATTCTTTGTAGAAAAACTAATATACCGATTTTATGGTTTAAAACGTGCAGTTTAATGTTGTAAGTTGAATTCAAGAAATCTTGCGTAAATTCATTTCAAGTAAAAGTAGACTGTTTAGTAATCCCAAATATTAAAATAAATTGCCAAGTGTATTAAGATGTTGCCTAAATACTTAATTATGCCTATAATCCTATACGTCGACGATTAACAATTATTATATTTTTTATAATATAAGGATATAAGTTTATTAACGGTATTGTACAAAAGTATATACTGACGGGACACTAGTGGAGGGTTATGAAATGAGGATGAAATCAGGATCCAAGCAGACCACCCATCGTGATGAATTAAACAAAATAGCAACCTCGTGGAGGTCAACCTGTCATGAATTTGCCAGCAATAGGGTCGCTAGTCCGCTTTACTAACAATTAGAAGGAGAGTTCCTCCCTCTGATGTTAAACCACATAATATTTGCAATATCTGTCAATAATCATATAGTAATAATTATCTTCAAAACAACATCTCAAGTATTATATTTTCTTTGAGTTCTAACCACAGAACACCAATATCCTTCTAACGAAGTAAAAATAATCTTATTTTTTATTTCATGGGTTGCTAACTTCAATATAGAGAATTTCTTTTTTGAGGGGAAAAGAATTACCCCGCGTATAGTATTCACAGATTATATTAAAAAATAAAGTAATTCCTCGACTAATAATATTAAAGTAATTTTATTTTTTGGTTGGTATCGTATTATTGGTTAATGCTCTTTTAATAGTTTTACAATTATCTGGCGAGACAAATTGGGTAAATATTTTTAAAATAGGGTAACACTCATTATTGATTCAACCAAATATTATATATTTTTCTTGCCGACATTATAAAATATTTCTTAAAATACGCTTACAATCCAAAGGATGTGACTGTTAATAACTATTAACATCTATACGCCATGTCTGCAAATGGAAACGGCGGTAATTATGCACCGCTGAAACAGATTTTATCGGAGTCCGACTCGGAAGATGATCATAGGTTGGAAAATAATGTTCATATGAAAACAACGGACAGCTGTAACAATTTAGACTTTAACAGCGGTCTGCAGTCCTCAAAGAATTACAGTATGAGTGATATGGACGAGTTTAACACTAATCTTAATACAGTTGAAAGCACAATGGACAACGTAAGTTTCTTGCAGTCGGATGCCTCTAATAAAATGTCATTCCCGCGTTGCTGCGCCTTCATCACGTCAATACTCGTTTGTATTTTTACTGTAGTTATATTTCTGTGGGGTATTCCTTGCTCCGAAGTCGGTGAATGCGCGCGTGAGGAGTGGCAGGACAAAACTACTAGTTGGGAATTGCCGTACGACGAAATCGAATTGTCAGGCGCCGTGCAAGTTGTAGAAGGTGCTATAGCGAACACAAAGAATTTAATATTCATATACCGCGGCAACCATATGAAGCAGGAAAATGGCAACAATGACAATGTGAATGGTGTATTGCTTATAGTCGGGAACTCTGGTAAAGTTGGTTGGTACACAAGAGAGAATAGAATCCCTACAGAAATTAAATGTCATATTTTAGATGTTAATCGTGACGGTCAGATGGACTGCTTGGTTTCTGGATCTGAGGGCTTGCTTGCAGCATTGAATCCTTTGTCAGGGACTTATTACTGGTATATTCACAAACATGGGAAAGTGTTCAGTAATATAGCTGCAATAGATTTCCCCACTCTTGTAAAGGATATGGATAGAGACAAAGTAACAGATCTTCTAACAGTTGCAACTGTTTATCCGAACACAAATCACAACTCATTGTTAATGATCTCTGGTGCAACGGGAAATATAATTGGAGAGCCAGTAACTATGGATGATTGCTTATCTGTCAAGTTACTCTCTGAATCTGAAACAGTTCATTTGAACTTACCTTATCTCTGCAAGAACAGTACCACTGAAGCTGTAAGGTTATTATCACTTCGTACAATCAACAGAAAAGCATTTAAATCAGATCAGACTGTGAATCATACCGTAGCAGCTTCAATCACAAAGAAACTTAATCTTAGCTTGAAGAAAAATATTGGTAACACAAGGCACATGTTCACAAACGGTCCTGGGAGACTTATAGTGGAAAATTCTGGTGAATGTCCATATTCATGTCGTGTTACATTAAAATTATTGCTCGACAGAAATGGCACAACCAATGTCAGTTGGCAGTACTCTGCTAACCATGTGTTTGCTATGAAACCTAGCAGCTTTGCATTTGCAAATTCCATTCGTGGATTTGTTTTAAAATTATGACAGTGGAACAGTGCACACTTGGCTAAAGGTGCACTGAAAATTGATGAAGTCAAATATAATGTACAAAATCAAAGCCCAAAGAATTACGATATATTTTACTATAGGCCTACTATAAATGTAGCATCTATATCTTCCTTTATAAAATATGCAAATTTTACAGCTCATGATATATCAGAAAGGATTGTTCTGGTGTCATTTGATAAAATGCAAACACACAATGTTAATGTAAGTCAGACTGATATTCTTCAAATATGTGTAAGAGGGCCTATAAATAGTGATGTACCTCTGCCTATATGTCAGCCTGACTTAACATATCAGGAGCAGTCATTAATGATTGCCGACCTGGATGGAGATCAGTCTCATGAATTAATCTCATATTATAGTACATTCATTGCTCCAGAGTCATACAGTCCCAAAAATGCAAATCCTGTTGATAACTGGCGGCTGACATCTATAGTCAGAGTTATTCGTTTGGAATCTGAGTTGCCAAAATTATTTGTTTCTGATACATAATCTCATAGTTTTCCAATCATATTTAGTTTATAGCTTCTATTTGATATTTGCCAAATGGCTACTTTCATGTATGGAGTTTATGAAGAGTGATAATTTTGTCTAGTCACAATTATTCATATTAGTATTGTAATAAATTAATTTATATAATTATAAGTTTAAAGGGTTCATTCAACTTTTGAGCATTTAAAATAGAGGTAACCTTGGAATCTTTGCTCTAAGGATTTTAGTAAATTATTTCTTACTGAGAATATGATATGGCTGACTAATATTTGTTATAGTTTAATTGTAACTTTTTATGATATCTAAAAGCAAATATTTTTAATAAATACTAGTTTTAATCACTCATATTATATCGAGATATCGAATTTGGTTTAATCCTGTGATTTATTATTTTTCTACTTTGTCATTCTAAGAAAAATGTGGCAAATGTTTTCTGTTAAATTGTTTGTGTGGCATTCTATTTTAAATGCTCATTAGGTTTTCCCTGTGTGATAATGAAAACATTAAATAACATTAAGTTATTTATTTATATTATTAACATTAAGTATTGGTGTTGACGTATCTCCAATACGTCAACACCAATACTTAATGTTGGCACGCGCCAGTGAAGGTTGAAATCAGATCACTTAGCCCATTATGTCAAAATTTATCAGAAATTCATTAAATACTGATCAATTCCTCATGAATTACCTAGGTTACGGTGATGAGGGGATGAGGGGAGAGGATGATGCTAATGCACCTACATCTTTTTAAAATATTTTCAATGATCCCATAATGATGATATTTCTGATAATTATCTTCACCATTTGGATGATGATTATAACTAAAAAGTGGATGACTACATTCTTTATGGCTTCTATATTTATATATTATATAAATTCTTGTATTTAGCCTGGAGTGTTCAATATTTGAAATTGTACCTAATCATTATAGTCTATAATTTATTAACAATGTATATAAATTTTAATCTACGTACGAGTCTGATTACCTGTTTCTATTAATACAGAATTACAGATATATAATAAAAGGCTTTTTTTTCAATTTGCTATTTTATTATTTCAATAGCGATTGCATATTTATCTAATTCCTCTTAATCAGTGCCATCCTGCACTGCATTTCTTTGAGAAATACAACGGCTGAATCGATTTTGATAAAATTTCAATGAGGTTCTGAACGCAGTAGGTTGCTTTTCCAGTTAAGACGACGGCAGTCTACTCCAATAGTATTAAAATAAAATGTAACAATACCACGAAATCTTAATACTATAAATGAAAAATCTTGTGAGATGGATGGATGTTTGTTACTCTTTCACACTTTTTGTGTGAAAGAGTAAAAGTAACTTAGTAACTATTAAAAGTATATTGATGAAACAGTAATATTTAGCTTATATATCAGAAGAAAAACACAGGGCACAGTTAGTACTTAAATGGCACGAAATTAAAACTAATATTGAATTAAATTTTCGTTTATTTTAAATTTAAACATTTTAAAGTATTACCTAATATTCTAATACACATAGTATATTTTTTTTTATTTTAAAATCAGTCGAATATCATATCTACTTTACATTAATTACATGTTACACATGTTAACAAATTTTTCTTAAAATACCAAGCAATTTTACCTTGTATTCGTAAATGTTTCTCATGGGAAGGAATGCGAGACTTTTACTTAATACTACAGCATACAAGAATTCGATAATAGGATGACACATAATTTTATGCATGAATTAACTATCTATTATTTAATTATTTAGAATTCATACGAACAACGGTTTCTATTTAGTAGTTATAGCCAAACAATTATTGACGTTTAGATGGCGTAAGCCTAATCCATTTCATCTTTCTAACATCTATTATATATGGTAAGTGATTTATCTGTATTATATGTAAACGATCAATTGGGAAAAAAGACGTCAAATTTATTTAATAAATGTTCCAACTGCTTTAAAAATAGACATCCTATTATATTTGCTGCCGTAATGCGATTAATTGCGGTGTTATCATCTCAATTATCCAGTTGCTTTACTCACGATAGTTGTTTTGATTCGCGAAATTTATTGTTAAAAAATATACTACCTGCCTAAAACACGATCTGTATAAAGATTCTGAATACACAATTCGAGAAATGTAAGCAAATGTAGACAAACTAATAACGTAAACTATATACATCTAAAATAAGTGTAATATAAAGAAACTAAGGTACATACATATATATCACATTTATTTGGCAAATTAATCTACGACGATAGAAGGAACTATTTTTATAGAGCTTCGTAGTCAAGTGGTTTACCTGCTATCCCTTTTGCGATCCAAAGATCCCAAGTCCGAATTTGGCCGACACTAAAAACTATGTATCCTTTTATATTTATCAGACTTCGCTGATACCTATATCGAGTAAAATTAATCCGAGTGAGAGCGGCAGTCGTGCTACCAGCCACGTTGGATTTAAATGTGGGCGGGCAGGTCAAATGTTGCGTTCACTATGACATCGACAGTTGATTTGATTTGACAGTACCTTGATGCACATATGGCGTAACTGTCGTAACGTTATATTATTAATTAAAGTGGACGTAAAGTTAATCTCTTTACAAATGGCAAAATAAAGTTATTCATCGTGCCACAAACCTATCGGACTCAGTGGAAACTTCTACTAATGTAGAAATGGTAGAAATTCTATTTTGTAACAACACTAAATTCACCAAAAGATATACACACACAAACATATATAAACCGCTACATCGGTGATGTAGCGGTTTATATATGTTTGTGGAACTGTACTTTGTTCATTATAGAATGTACTGGGATATATATATATATATATATATATATATATATATAGGTAATACGATTTCTAATTTCGTAGCGGCTATATAATTAACATTGGAACTGTCTAATATGTATTAGCAGCCATAGAGGGACAACCTCCGTCATTGACATAGTCGTTTTATATCCTTAGCGTGCCTTAATGTCTAAGAACACAGATTAAAATCTTATACAATAAAATAACATTAGAAATTATAAAGCCATACTTTACAAGTATGTTATCAATATTTTCTAAACTTGTATTTTAAAGATATTCTTAAGGAATTATTAGATACCAATTTCGCTATTAAACGAATTTAACTGTTTTTAAACAATAAACGAATAAAATTATACTAAAACAAAAGCACAGATTGATTATTTTCCTATCTAATTAATTAGAAGTAATTTTTGTTGCTACAATTACGTGTATATGTCTTATAGAGGCATTTATCAACATTAAGGCAATTTGCACTGACAAATATATATTAAAAGTCGATATAAAACAATATAACCGTTCTAATAAGATATGTATTTTTAGAGGATAGTGAAAATAATTACAAATTTCGTGAGTTTTATGTTCGGATACAATATGCAATAAGATCTGCGCGAGATTTTTCACTACTTTACTGTCGTAAGACGAACTAGAGTTTCGTCTAGTTTTTTTCGGTTTAGTCTTGCAACTATTGTTTTAAACCTCTAAAGACTACATTATAAGTTCTAAAGTGAGAATAATGTATTATAGTCTTAAAATAATCTAGAAATAATAGGCCAGCAATACCATGATGATCTCCATAAAATTAATATTCATTTACACTTTCTAATAAATTAACAAAAATAAAGTTCATATTTTTAGAATAGTGTTTAGATCAATAATAAAGTAATCAAGCTAAACTATATTCTACGAATAAGAAAATAGCGTTACGTTTCATATGTCTTTATTAAAAACCAACTGGTTCAGATCTGACCTATTCAAATTTGTTTTTTAATAAAAAAATAATATTGATTAGCGAAATTATTTAGAGTAACTATAGTATCAATTAAATACAATATAGAAAATATGTATGCTTATTTAGTTTATGGGAGAAGTTGCATAAAACAATACTTAATATTAATTATCAAATATTCTATCTACTGATATTATGTATGTGTGTTTGTTTGTAATAGATATACTTATTCAAGCATTATTTCACTTATAGACAACTACGTAGTCGGCAACAGGCTTATTTTACTGCAGGACACAACTAGTTAAGAGATATACAATTATAAAATTCGATTTAATATGAATTTGTGCTAACATTTGATCTCAAAGAATTAAATATGTTGAGATTGTGAATTCAATCTAGGTACGTATTTATGTTTATTAATCTATGAGATTTAAATGAGATTACTAGTCTATGGTACGACGAGTTTCTGCGTGACATTGGTGTCGTCTTCTACCGTGTATTCTTCTAGTTTGACCATATCGAGTTCGGCGAGGGTCTCTGCCACGCTGTAATCTTTCTCGTCGAATAATTCTATCGTTATCTCGTCGTAATCCCGGGCGCTGTAGGTCAAATTGATTATATTATAAACAACAATAGTATAAGTGAATAAAGTGAAGCGAAGTGAATGATTTGAGTGTATTTAAAAGCATCAGCTAGTAATAATGTATCACGTCAGGTTGAACTCCACGTGGCTCCCATCGTGATAAATTTAATGGAGAATTTAGCTATACCATGATGGCCTCCACTGGTGCCCCGTCAGTTTAAACCGTTAGTGTAGGCGGGTGCCCCATTCCAATATTCATAAGACAATTGGTCTTAATGAGAAAATCAAAAAGCCTACTTTTTTAAAATATACTACACACTGACATGGCACATACTACAAAATGGTTTAACTCTGAGAAAACAGGCAACGGTCTGTAGCGCGCTGCTGCCGCACCATCGCGAGGAGCGGTCCCGCGGCTGCACGCCGGCCAGCACGCGGCGGGCCGGATGTAGGGCCGGACGTACTCACATGACGTGCGCGGTGAGGACGCGGTCCTGCGCGAGGTCCGCGAGCGCGTGCTTGGCGGCGGCCCACTGCCGCGAGGAGCGGTCCCGCGGCTGCACGCCGGCCAGCACGCGGCGGGCCGGATGTAGGGCCGGGACGCGGTCCTGCGGCCGGACGTGCCGCGAGGAGCGGTCCCGCGGCTGCACGCCGGCCAGCACGCGGCGGGCCGGATGTAGGGCCGGACGTACTCACATGACGTGCGCGGTGAGGACGCGGTCCTGCGCGAGGTCCGCGAGCGCGTGCTTGGCGGCGGCCCACTGCCGCGAGGAGCGGTCCCGCGGCTGCACGCCGGCCAGCACGCAGCGCGCCGCCTGCGCGGGCAGCGCCGCGAACCGAGCGTCCAGCACGCGCACGTGGTCCTCCTTCACGGACACCACGTTGCCGTAGTCCACGTACATCACCTGCCACGCGGACACACCGCATTAGGATAACGTCGACTACGTACGGCCGCGGACCGGCTGCACGCCGGCCAGCACGCGGCGGGCCGGATGTAGGGCCGGACGTAACATTGAGGACGCGGTGTGACGCAGCTGGATTCCAGGCAGCGCCGCGAACCGAGCGTCCAGCACGCGCACGTGGTCCTCCTTCACGGACACCACGTTGCCGTAGTCCACGTACATCACCTGCCACGCGAACACACCGCATTAGGATAACGTCGACTACGTACGGACCGGGAGGGACCTAACATTGAGGGTGACGCAGCTGGAGTCCAGTCACAGCGCGAGTTACGAGACGCTCGTGGCGTGGCGTGGTTGTGCGTGGCAAAAAGTTTCTAGAAAACCGCCATTCATCCAGATGATCAGCATGGTATTTCAGTTTCTGGCGGGTGGTACGGTGGTGAAACTCAGTGGCTGGTATTAATCAGAACAATTCCTCAGAACACTCCCCATGATATATGCGGTAGAAAATGCACAGAGATGCAATATCTTGCCGCCTAGCCAATGGGTCGAGTTTGTCACATAGACGTCGATTACCAATGATTCTGGCTGCTCGGTTCTGTATACGGTCAAATGGAAGTAGTTGGTATTGTGGTGTTCCCGCCCAGAGATGAGAACAGTATTCCATATGCGGCCGGACCTGCGCCTTGTATAATTGCAAGCGATGGGCCGCCGTGAAATACCGTCTCACTCTACTGAGCACACCAAGCTTTTTTGAGGCTATTTTAGCCTTGTCCTCCAAATGACCGCGAAACTGAACGTCACTGGATATATCAACGCCAAGGACCTCGAGATTTGGCTTCACATCAAGGAGAGTGTCTTGAAACTGAGGAGATACGATAAATGGATTCTTTTTAGCGGTAAACGCGCAAACTTGTCTTCTTGGGGTTGAATTGAACACAATTTTCAGACACAAGTCTGTTCCGGTACTCTATAACTTTTGCCTGCGACATATTAGCATGGCCGCTGTACAAGGCATCTCCGGTACTGTCATCCGCATAGCAATGAATGTTGTTGATTTGTAACATGTCATTGATATGCAGAAGGAACAGAGTCGGAGATAGCACACAGCCTTGTGGAACACCAGCATTCACAGAGTGTGGGTCGGAGCAAGCACCATCGACAACGATCTTGATGCTCCGATCAGTGAGAAAGATGGCGACCCATTTGCATAACTTCGCAAGTAACCCGAAGGATGGTAGCTTTGAAAGAAGAGCTTTGTGCCAAACCCGATCAAAGTCTTCGCAATATCCAGACTAACAGATAGGGCCTCCCCATTACTCTCAATAGCCTCTGTCCATCAATGTGTCAAATACACTAGAACATCACCAGCTGACCGACCCTGGCGAAAGCCATACTGACGATCAGAAATCAACTGGTTCACTTCTAGGTATCGTAGGAGTTGACGGTTGACAATCGACTCCATGGTCTTTGAGAATAAGGAGGTGATGGCTATGGGCCTATAGTTAGCTGGATCTGAGCGATCTCCCTTCTTATGGATCGGATGAACCAAAGCCGTCTTCCAAAGTTTTGGGACTACGCCTGTAGAGTAGCAGTACCGGAAAAGACGCGTTAGTACCGCAGCCAACTCAGGTGCACACGTCCTGAGCACAAGAGCAGAAATACAGTCAGGCCCACTCGACTTGTGGATATCGAGGGAGAAAAGAGACTTATCAGCTTTTGGGTAAATTTTACCTCTGGCATAAAAGTCTCACACCGCGAGATGACCGGCGTTGTTTGCTCCCTATCGTCCAGTGTCGAGTTGCAAAAAGAGACCCAAGGAGATCGGCCTTCTCTTTAGCATGTTGGGCCAACGAGTTATCGTCTCTGCGCAGTGGTGGAAAAGATGGCTGACAGAAATTTCCCTGAGCAGCTTTGGCAAGAGACCAAAAAGCCCGGGATTCAGATGGAAGACTGTTCAGTCTCTTACCAATTCTGCTGATGTGCTCCGATTTTGCTGTGGCTATAACTCTTGAAGGACCTGGAAGCGGAGTTATACTTCCTTTTATGGGCACTGATATCTGGATGACTCGACTTCACAGCTGCAATCCAGGCACGGAAGCATTCCTGCTTATGGCGAGACGCCGATCTACAGGATCCCCCATACCAGGACTGAGATCTACCACCGACAGGTACCTGGGAATTTGGAATAAACATCTCCATTCCCTGAAGTACTACACTACATCGGTGACAGATCCAGCTATTACATCAGGATCGTCCAGTGTGAACATACTCGCATCTCATCCCCCGACATAAAATGGGTAAGATGGAAAAAGGACGCGTGAGAGGCACTTCGCTCCGTATTAGACAATGATCAGAGGATCCCAGTGGGGCTTCCACAGATATCTGATATACGTCCGGATGAGAAGTCAGCAGAAGGTCCAACAGTGAAGGTATATGGTCAACAACATCAAGAATTCGCGTAGGCGAGGATACCAGTTGCGTCAAACCATACGCCCATAGATTTGTTGATAATATAAATCTTAAACGTCTCTATGAAAAATTAAAATATATTCATACTAAAATTGATTTATTTTATGTAACAAACACTTTATATATATATATATATATATATACTATATTGTTAAACAACTGCTTGGAAATATACATAACACAGTGATTTAAGTTTTTTCTTATTCTAAGCAAATAAGAAAATTTAATACCGGCTGCATTTATTGCAAACAATAATATTTGAATATTTTCTTGCACATACAAATATATTTTTAGTTTTTAAATATGGAATATTACCTCAACATTCTGGTCAGCGCGGGAAGAGAACCGGACGCACGCACGGTACCACTGGTCATCGGGTGGGTACAGCGCTGCCACTAGTTCGCCTGGCGCTGGCGTAGTCTATACAGCATAAGAATATTGAAGTTAATAATAATAATCCAGAACCATTTACACAGCGCTACTTAGTCCCAAAAGCTAAGCAAGGCTTGTGTTATATAAACCAGAGAATACTTTGATGCATTTTTTGTAAATACATAATATACATAGAAAACACTTAGACAGATACAAACAATCATCTCTCATCTCAACTCATCTAGGTGTTTTGTATGTAGACTATAATTATATTATTAGTTGTCTAGTACCCATAATATAACCTCACTGGTCTAGATGACATTGTGTGAAGTGTCCAAAGATATTATTATTATGTATATAGAGCTGACCTTCAGTGGCTTGTATGCTGTCCTGGTCGCGGGGCTGTTCATGTCCCGTACGAGCGCCTCCAGCGTCATTGGAGGGCGAATCACGCCGAATTCGGGCAACGGCTCATCTGGAAACCAAAGTCAAAATAGTTTATGCACATACATTTTTTGTGCGAATTATGGAGGTCATAATTTTTGTCACACTTTTCTAAAAACTGAAGTAGATGTTACTACTTCATTTCAGTTGACAAGAATTTTTCAACAAGGAAGAAACGCAAGAAGAGTTTTTACTGGTACATTTTATTAATCATCAGTCTTTTGTGAATGTCATCATCATCGTCATCATCAGCCTGTGTCTATCCACTGTTGGATATAGGCCTTTCCCAAAGACTTCCACCATGTGCGCACTTCCGCCTTCCGCATCCATTCACTCCCGGCCACCTTCGTAATGTCGTCGGTCCATTTTGCAGGAGGGCGTTGTGTGAATATACATACATAGATGTAAATATAATGTAAATGTAAAAATTAAACTGATCACTGTCTATACAGTTACAAGTGAAAAACAGTTATTGGGAAACTTTAGCAGCGTAACAGGACCCAAAACATTGAATGGATATTTTATAAGCATCTTGCTTTAGTTTTTAGTTTTATGGTGGGATTAGGCATTGAAATTACAAGATAAAGGGCATGTCTTAGTATCACGGGTCTAAGACAATGCAACACAATACGCAATGATTGATACTTATTTTAAGATGGGCCATCAGATTGACTACTGTTTCAATTACTAAAAAAAATGATTGAATACCTGTTTTTTTTTCGTCGATGAACTGCACGTAGATGCGATTGAAGTGGCAAACGTAGGTGACAAGCACTTTGTGCCAGGTGTCTGGCGGAGGCAGCGGCAGCGGCTTGTGAGTTAACGCCTCCACGCGGTCCAGAGTCCAGCCGTCTATATATATTAAGAAAAAAACATATTATGTACTAAGTCATGAAGAGCACACTTTATGTATTAAGCCAGAAAAAAGTTTATTATAAAATTGAAGAATTTATAAATGAAAATAATGTGTTTGTATAATATATCTAACTTAAAATTCATAGCGCTGACAATGTTATATGATTGAACAGAGTTTAAGTGCCTTGTTGTTAATTAAATATAAGTAAATCAATATTTATTTACAAAAAATAACAATTGGATTGTTATTTTTTGTATTTGGTTATTTTTTATTTATTTTGTCCTCTAAATGTGATTATTACAAAAATTGCTACAATATTTTACACACTGTGAAATACTTATGGCGTTACAAAAATCTGTAGTAGCATCTGTAATTAGTTTCTATTTTTAAACTGCATGATTATGGAACGGTGTAATTTTGCAGTAATTTTACGTTGGTGTGGGACCAGCGGAGGATGACAGGATGACCATGAGGTCAGGTCAGGTAAGGTTAAAATTAATGTAACATTAGTGGCGTCGGTCGTCACCATGTTTGCCTTTGGATTGCTCTTAATTATTAAATTTATACAATATTTACTTCCGATAGTCGCATGTTTGATTCCTCTCACGGCACCAATATTTCTATTCACAAGTATGATTGTTTTATCGCTCTGGGTGTTTTCTTTATATATTACGTATCTATGTATTTACATAAGTTATCTAGTACCCATAACACAAGTTAATATATTAGGATTATAGAATATATCACATAAAGGGTAGTATATTTATTACATCCGGTAAATAAATGTATTAGTTGTAGATATTTACCTGGGTGTTTCATAACATGTCTTTTGTTGCAGCGTGGTCCTTTGAAGCAAGTCTTCTCGGGGCCGCCTGTATAATGTTTGCAGATGTCAGCCTCATCACGATTGCTGTAACCCTATAAGTATATTTACTACAATTACTAGATAACTCGGCAAACTTTGTCATTTAAATTAATATCGCTATTAAAAAGTGGGGTTGGTAAAAGATGTTTAAACTGAATTGGGTAGAAATGTAGTGTTCTCTTATAACTACGTATTTATTGTTTAGTTTGTTTTTTTCTTTTATATCTTACCGAGTTTCAACGAAAACTGAATACCTAATAGTAGAATGATGGGAGGAAGGAATTGCTAACAATGTACCATGTCAGATTTCCCTCCATACAGTTCCCCTGAAAACCATCATAATAAACTCCTGGTAAATTCGCCACGATGAGCTATCTGACCTGACCACATGTTCATCTCATCATCCTCCACTAATGCACCGCCAGCGTAAACTGCTAATGTAGACGAGTGAATACCATTACCATATATTAAGAAAGAAAGGAATAATATTTATTCAGTGCATTTCAACAATGTTACAATATACAAACGAAAAAAAAAGATTAAATAAAATGAATATATAATTAAAATTAATTTACCATGTAGGTAATTAAAAATAATCATTTTTGACTTCCATATAGACACTGAAATGGCTCTACTCAGCTTTATTGTGTCCTATGTGAACATATAGCTGGTTTTCAGTGGCACCAAAATGAGGATATATATATATATATATATATATATATATATATATGTATAGGGGGAGAGAGAGGGCACTATATAAAATATTAATGATAATAATTAAAACAAAATTACAACATAAAAATACAAACCAATTACATATACTAGAAAGAAAAAATAAAATAAAACATGAACATAAACATATTTATTCATGTTGTTTTATGTTATTACAACTATTTCGTAGTATGATTTATAGGTTAAATAGTAGATAGATAATTCTTGTATAGTTTTTTAAAGGTGTTTATTGAATATTAAAAAAAATACTTTTATTTACCGTGACAGCTTCCACGGGATCTTCATATTCTGGGCACTCTGTGATGTCGATATCACTGTCCACCGAGACTGACACTGACTCCGAGAGATCAGGGCTCACCACTGCGTGAACGGGTTTGTCTACTGTCATACATAAAACATTTTTGTTAATTATATTATTAATATGTGAAGCAAAGACTTTGTTTTTTACGAATACTGCACGGGCAAAGGAATATGAAATTTCGCATTTAGTTTATATAGATTCAAATTCAAATACAAATTCAAAAATCATTTATTCATGTAGGACATTTTGGTCGCTTATGAACGTTAAGTTTTTACATTATAATTTTTTCCCTACCGTCCAGTTCGGTATATAGATCCAATTGAGAAGAACTGGCAAGAACTCAATTGAATTACTTTTTTTTTTAAATCCAGTTTTTTTACAATGCATAGGTATTTATATAGATGTCTATGTCTAACATTAAATGAAAATCCCGAACATGAAAACTATTGCCATGCACGCTCGTCATTCAAGTAATCGTTTAGAGGAATGCAGGAGGATATTTTTTATTAATTATGCATATAAATACATTAAATGAATAAAAAAATCAATACACACATTACCATGTATTTCACACACGCATAAAGGTATAGTCTTTGACAATAGAACCTTAATAAATTTATAATTTCAATTAATTATAGTCGAATTTTGACCATTGGGCGACCACTAGTAATAATAATATCACACTGTAAAAAGAGAGGAGCAGCAATGATGTTGCAAAATAAATTTTAAATTCGTATTATACTTATTATTATTTAATTCATCAACATATGTTTGTAATTTTTTAATTTTCTCCTGTATGCATATTATCTGTTCATTTTTCAATCCGTTTCCCTAAGGTTGCCTTGAAAAGATTGCTTTCAGCAATAAGGCCGGCTTATAACTATACATGTTGTCCTTTAATATATTATTTATGCATTTTCTTTACTGTGTGTTACAAATGTATAGTTATAAGCCGGCCTTGCCCGACGAAATTGAGCCGTCAAGTTAAAAATAAAGTAATAACAATAATTAGTGTTTTACTTACTCGGGCCAGCTAGACCCTGGTTCACCATGATGTCGTTTATGGTCTCCTTCGATGGCAGTATCACGTACACGCCCAGTGATTCAGAAGTGCTGATAAATTATTACAACCATATAGGAGTTGTATGTATTTTAATGCCACATTATAGAAATTAAAATAAAAGGTTAGGGGTGGACAACCCTTGTCACTTAAGGGTATGAAAAATAGATAGTAGCCGATTCTCAGACCTACTGAATAAGTATCTAAAATTTCATAAAAATCGGTCAAGCCGTTTCAGAAGAGTATGGTAACTAACATTGTGACACGAGAATTTTATATATAAGATATTAATAACCCTAGGCAATTCACACAACGCCATCTAGTACCAAGCTAAGCAGAGCTTGTGTTATAGTACCCATAGCAACTGGAAGAAATACTTAAATGCATTTCTTTGTAAAGAACTGCTTGGTGTTTCCCTCTTTGCCACACGATGGACCCGGCACCCGCACGGTGAATCCATGGAGTGCTAAGAAGTTCGTCTCATAGCAAACACCCAGACCGATACAATCTTACTCTTGAAAACAAATGTTTGTATCTTGCGAGAAATTGAACCCCGACATTTGGAAATAAGGAAGTGTATTAAAGTTTGAAGCAAGTTTTACTTACTTATCATCAACTTCAATTTGACAGGCCATACCCACATAATTCTTTAAAAAGTCTTCTTGTTTAGTCATCATATCTTCATCCTCTTTATGCAACAGATCAACCTGTAAATGTTTTTATAATTTAGTGTCCCATCGAAACTAGCATAAGCAAATACACGAGACTGAGCTAAACACGCTGACATTTTTGTACAAAGCCTGGGTTGACATAGAGAGAGAGCGAGAAAAGATAGAGAGAGAGAGAGAGAGAGAGAGAGAGAGAGAGAGAGAGAGAGAGAGAGAGAGAGAAGAGTGAGAGAGATATTTTTATAGGTGATATCTATGCATCAATCAGAACATATTCGCCTACTTTAAGGGTTGTAGTAAAACTCAGACCAACCTCATTTAATTTGTATTTTATTGTTCTCATTCCATTCCTTTTGGATATTTTATTACACATACGTAATATTATATATAAATCATAACAATACTAATAATACAAATATTATTAGTATTATTATAAGAAAGTGCTTCTGCTTTTGCCAGTTTTGTTAAAACTGACATCCCACCCGATGATAATGGTAATTAGTGCTTATATCATAGTACATGATCAGCACAATGGATATCATATTATAATGTAACGCCCGTAATACCCATGTGTTGCTATTCCGGAGAATTAAGCTGTCATGCTTCTTATTTTATATTCAAGACCAAAAGGCTAAACGGGCCTTAACGAAATTAGACTTGTAGATAGATAAGATACATTCCAATCAGGCAGGCAAAGTCGCGAAGGAGTTAGGGTATTTTATTCAGAAACGAACCCTCAGACTACAGTTGTATCCGTCAGGCGGGAGTTGGCCTTCAGCCTATTAGGCACATTGATTGAAGTAGAAAAAGTATAATGCATCACATTTAAAATAAGTAGTATAGGTCCAACAGAAATTGTTAGTATTTTAACAGATTTAATTTTGGATATGTTTTTTGCTAGTAGTTCTATTGTTTACTCTTCTGTATATTGTTTTATATTATGTATGTTATTTAAATGTAGAGATGTAGAATGTCTTAAATGTAATGGATTAAGGGACCGTATTAGGCACATTGATTGAAGTAGAAAAAGTATAATCCATCACATTTAAAATAAGTATTGTTGCTAAGTAACAAGCTGCAATAAACGAAATAAATTATATTTACAACTGTATACGTAATCCACTGAATATCTCTATCACAGCCGCTCCATAAGTCCTTCTGCGGGTTTGCAGTGCCTTCTGCACTCGCCCCCTATCGTCCGGTGAAGCATTAGAGTAGTCCGAAAAAAGAAAATGAAACTAACCCCCGCAAGATGGCAGCAGCGCGCGTACGGCGGATATTTGCAGAAGCGCTCTAGCAGTGGTTTGATACAACTTGATGGCGTTGTTCGCATTTCGCCCGTATCTACCAGAAACACTTCAACGCTGTCCTGTAATAATAATAAATAAAAATATAACACACACAAAAAAAATTGTCCCTAAGTCTGGCACTACTTCTTAAGTTAGGTTATTTTAATATTATTTGTTTTTTTTAATCCTGCCTTAAAAGGCTTAAATCGAACCATCTGGGGGTTGTTGCCCCTGGAAGTAGATGCCGGGGCAATGGAGTTCATCCTGAGGTTGCAACCTTCAACCCTTAGAGGGGAGCAGATGACCAGTGTGTTGTTGTATAAAAACACCCATCTATTTTTGGTGTTCAATGCTTGTTTCAATCATACAAATTAACAATAATAATAACCCCAGGATTATTATAGTTATTACCATTCACGTAGTGTCATCTAGTCCCAAGCTAAGTAGAGCTTGTGTTATGGGTATTAACACATATTGACTTACTATACATATATAATACACATAGAAAATACGTGTCGTCGTCGTGTCTAGCACGCTTTCGATGGATGCGGGTTCGTTTCTCCGCATGATACAAATATTTGTATTCATTAGTATGATTGTTTGTATCCGCCTGGGTGTTTCCTGCGTATATTGTTTATGTATTTGCAAAAAAATGTAACTATGTATTTATATCAGTTGTCCAGTACATAATACAACTTTTTTTAATATTAGTATAAAACAAATACGACATTGTACCTCGATGAGTTTAATGAAGAATCCTCTGTAGCAGGCACTATTTTCCTCATCGTAGAAAGCGCAGTACTGTAATGTGCGTATCTCATCATGAGTGAGCAACATGCTGTTCTCCTTATAGTACTCCGTCATTTCCGCCATTAATCTGAAGAATTACATAAAGTATATTTAATTTTTTTTTAAGAGAAGCTTAACAAAATGAATTTGCGAATACTGCACTCGGTTACGCAAGTTACAACTGGTTAAACAGTTAATAAGATTAAAAACGCATAGATATTAGACAGAAATCTAACCAACATTGTTTTTCTATGAAGTTGATAAAGTCCGCCATTAATAGTTTCCCTTTTTGGCCTAGTTTTCACCATGAATAAAACCTCACAAGTAGTGAGTTCGAATCTAGACAACACAAGTAATTAAATTAATATTTCCGAGTGTTATGATTATTATTTTTGTTTCTTGGTGAAGAAAGATGGATGGATACATAATTATATTCAGTGGAGTTGTTGCAATTTCATAAAAATATGGCTATTCAAAAGTGCTTGTATTGAGTTTATTTGAATAATAATAATAATTTCTATTTCTAATATAAATTCCAGGTTTTAGATGTTGAGTTTTACATATCTGTAATATAATTCAATGTTTTCGGTATGTTAATGTTACCTGCAGATTTCCTCGAGATCATCGGTGATAATCCAGAGTGCGAGGCCCTCTGTTGAAATGATGGCACACCTCGTATATAAGATGTCACACTGTAGGACCGTCTGGGCGGGTAAATTGTGCTGTTCGCTCAGGGCCAACTGTTCTGTATGGGGAAATTTATACATTTATTTTGACATACTCTGTCAGCTAACAGTTTAGGACACCCCTTAACCTCCTATCTATACCCATCGCGGGTTCGATAGTCTATGGCTTTTATTATTGAGGGTTTTGGGCTAATATCAAGTGTAGAGATCTGTAACACTGCGTCCTACATAGATTTATTATGCTAGACCTTTTTCTAAGCTCGCTACTCAAGCCCGTCAGGGATAAGAATTGAAGGATATTCTTAAGATGGTTGCGATGGTTTTCATCTCAGGATATAGTGTATACCTTTCAAAAGAGATATTTCATTTATGGGCTACAACCACATAGCATGTAGCGTTTCCTCTTCTGCTTGGCAAAATGCTTTCTACTTCGCACAATACAAATATTTGTATTGTTTAGTATTATTTTATTAGTCTGGATGGTTTTTAATATATATATATTGGTTATTATTACTATTATCCTTCAGTTTGTAAGAAGTATAGTCGAGTGTAAAATTACACACATGGCAGTTACATTACAGAATATTGAGGCATGACCTCTTAGTTCTCCAAAATGGCAACACATGTGTGACATCAAAGATGTCACATCATTCTTATACGTGTTTCCGTATTGCTGTTCATTTGTATACCCTACAATTAACAGCCTTTAGCGGTTTAGCACACCACTGTACTTTCGATGCTGACGGGTTCGATCGATGCTAAATGTTCATATCAGTATGAATATTTGTATCTAAGTACTTATATCAGTTGTCTATTCACCTATAACGAAAGTTTCGCATAGCTTATTTTTAAGAAACTCACACAGTGTTACATTTCATTACATTACAGCATGGGGTTTTTCAAGATGGGTATATTAAGGTTTCTTAACGGCAACGCGCATGTGACACCCCTGGTGTTTCAAGCGTCCATAGGCTACAGTAACCGTTTACCATCAGATGGGCCGTATGCTCGTTTGCCACCTACATGATAAAAAAAAATGTCACCTAACCCAGGTGACACTGTGTGAATTTCTTAAAAATAAAGTTACCACTTACAATCAGGTGAGCCATTTGCTTGTTCCTTTAATTGTGTTATTATTAAACCAAGATTGAGTGTTACTTAAAAAATAATAAACTCACTATTCAAGGATAAGTTGTTCAATTCATTCGCCACTTCGCACTGTATTTCTTTGTCTTCATTCTTCTGTATTGGTACACTTTCAGAGGAACAAGAAGCGCTGGAGAAATCAATGAGGAGTTGGTCTTCTTTCTTACACCTCACTGGTGTTAGTTTCTCAGGGCAGAGGTTTGGACAGACAGTGGAAGTAGACGGTGTCGGTTCACTGAGCACATCTATTAGGTTGGGGGCTTGAGGCGCGGGTGTTGGCAGCGTATTACTGAACTTGTCTAATACTGGTGTATATTCCACAGCATTGTTCCCTTCTGTTGAACATTATCGTTACATAGTATAAAATAAAGTCACTGTCGCTATCTGTCCCTATGTATGATTTAAGTCTTCAAAACTACGCAACGGATTTTGAAGCGGTTTTTATTCATAGATAGAATAATTCATAGTAATTTATAGGAGACAAAATGTTTGTATAATACATGTACACCAGTGCGAAACCGGGGTGAGTAGCTAGTATATAATATTATAAATTACCCTTGTTACTCATTACTAATTTAACAGTTAAGCTGTTGAAATTTTAAATTGAGCTAATGCTAAAGTTTTTACACTATCAGACAATTTATTGTATAATGAAATCATTTCAACATGTTACAATACCGCCGCCCCCCCCCCCCTCCCCCTCCCCTCTCATCCCTTGTGACTCTTTATCAACAACCCCTTTCATCCCGGGACATAATTTTTTAATTACTCTACTGAGATGTATGAGGTACAATTCTAATATGTAATTAGATAGTCACATTAATAGCTAATACTTACCAAGCTTATTAACAGACAGATTGAAGTCTGTGATTAGGTATGTGTATTCATCAAGTTGTTTCATGCAAGTCAAGAAGGACTCCTTCAGGTCTGCGGGTTCACAGTTCAACTTATGGACAAATTGTTGAGACTAAAATATAAAATACAAATTTATAAGCAAAATTCTACTTATACAAAGTTTGTCATAAGGAGTAAAACAGAATGTTTAGAGAACAAGAAACGGAAAAGTTGTCTGCATCTTAGTCTCACTTATTTTAGTTGCCATGTTGCTTTTACTAAGTTGTTTCCATTAAAGGCCAGGGTACTTCAGTGAAATTACAGGATAAGAGGCATATTTTAGTCCTCAAGATGGTAATGCATGAGGTGCTACAGGTGTCATAATAATGTCATGTCCATGTACATAGCATGTACATAATACATGTAGCTAGTTAGCCATGGATCTATAAATATAATGCTATATTCAGGCATTGATAATACAATTCAATTGTATTAAACTGGAAAAACTTCTGGTATGGTCAAAATAGATTTATATAGAAAAAGTTCTGGTGATATTTAAAAAAAATGGAATTAAGATCAATTTTTTTTAATTGGATATAATTAAATTGGATACAGGGTTTGAATTATGCAAGGCCATTATTAACAATTTGCAATTATAGTTAACAGGGTTTAAATTACTGTTAGTAATAATTTTCAATTATAATTGATGAGTCTGAGATTTTCTATTGACCATTTCAGAGTGCATACAACATATTCACTGACAATGCATATAAGGTGTCACACTTGAAATTATACCCTAAGGAATGCTAAACATTAACATGTGTTTACACATCTTAGTAAACTGATACCAATATTTCTGAGGTGAAGAGCACATCGCAGTGGAATAAACTTTTAAAAAAACTGTAATAGTCAATATTGATTCACTGTTAGTACAGATTTATTAAAACAAATATTTCTTACCTATACAATATTTTTTTGCAGATAATAAAGTCAATAAACTTTTTATTAAATAAGGGTCAATTGCAATATGGATTCATTCTACTAGTCTATGAAAACAAATATTTATTACTGATACAATATTTTTTATGGATGATGAAGAAATGATGCCACCAGACCTCAGGTCGGTCGCCCTGGAAATTACTGTGGTAACAATTCCTGGTCATTTCGATTTGAATAGTTAACTTACCTAATATTATTCTTATCTTCCACTGATGCCCGCCAATACATAATGTTAGCGCAGGCGGATGCACCAGTCCATTATCGTCCACAAAAAGAAGGAAACTCGAGGTAAATAGAAAAATCCGTGTGGAATATCATCAAAAACATTGCGGGTATATAAATAAAAAAATAACTTACCTGGACTTGTAATTTTTTTATTTCGTTTATAGCTTGTTCGCTTTTCTCTAAGAAGATATTAATCCGTGCTTCCAGCTCATTTCGTCGGTGGAATGTTAAAGTTGCAAGATCCACAAAACTCCTAAAACGAAATTTTTCATTTTAGAAAGGAAAATGTTGATTTACCTTTTGGAATAATTATTTTACACATGTTTAAGAACATTAGACTTACATTTTGTTGGATATTGTATACTTTAAAAAAAAATTTTAAACTTAAATTATGTATAAGAAAACATTAAAATGTTGAAAATTTGTAGATTGCTTTAGTCAGGAATCGCGATTTTAGATCGATTGATTAATTTTACATTTTGACAGTATGATGGCACACATGTTGCATTGCATGAATGACAATTATTGACAATACTGACAACACAGTACAGGACTCATTCAATTGAATGAATTGGGCTGATGATTTCTGTATTTATAATTTTCACTACTCCTCACTAGAGGACGCTAATAAAAAATGCGCTTAATAAATGCATTAAGCAAATGATCACTAGATGGCAGTTTGTAACTAGCCAGTAATACAATTGTAACTTCGTATAAAATAAAATACATTTTAGTTTTATTATCTTAGTACACAATAAAGTTATAATATTATTAGCTATTAGATAGTACCTATAATAATTCTAAATTATAAATCTCAATTAAAGCTATTTTCAACCGGCTTCACAATAGCATTATGTCTTCTGTGTGTATTAGATAAATAATATGTCTATTCATCTTTTCATTCATCGAACTAGTAAAACTAAGTAGCTAATAATATTACCTAATATTATTAGCTACTTAGTTTTACTAGTTCTTTTAACAGAAAATAAAACGTAACTTCAAACGATTATTTAAACTATGACAACGTATTAGAGTACGTTTAGATACGACATTGTTGTCATTCTACTAATCAAAGAAAAGTTATTTTTTCATTTAAAAAAGAATTTAAAGCTTTAAGACGAAGTATGGTAACAAAGGCAAAGATATGGAGATTGTCAAATCTTTTATTGAAAATTGCTAGACCGTATGTTTTGTACTCTAAAATGGCAAGTTTAAATTTAACCTAATTTGATAAATCATATGACGAATTTAATGTTATTATTGACATAAAAAAATATTCTAATAAATATTTAGAAGTGTTACTAGTCTAGGTTTAAGAAATAAGAGCAGGTAATATTACGTACTTAGATATCTACATAAAAAGATCAATGTAGTGGTTATGATCTTAGTGCAACATATAACTAAATAACAAAATGTCTTCGGTATATAGGCATATATACATTTTAAATGCACCTATTAGATAAATTAGATCTCAGTACTTATATACTATTCACTATAATAAAAGGAACAGTTCAATTTTATCTGGCTAAAGTGAAACGATCCCAAAGCAACCGTGCTCATTAGCCGGGCGGCGGCCGCGAGTTACGCACTACGTTTCAATTAAAAAGACCAGCAAACTAAACAAGAGCCACGTAATAAATTCAGGATACCCCGCTCCCGCTCGCTACTAATTGGATTCACGGGTACGAACAACCAATTAGTGCGAGCGAGATGCACAAACTTACGGGGTGTTATTTGGGCGGGCGCAGCTACAAATACATTTGCCAATTTAGTCAGTCCGCGTTAGTTTTACAATGTTCTATTTAGAAAATAATATTATTATAAGTGAAACTTAAATGATTCTAAATTCAAATTTTTATACGAAGGCGCGAAATCTTCGACAATGCTTTCGCGCCATTACTCCCGTTCGGCCATGTTTAGAGTGGAGTCGCTCGCGGCTGTGCGTACTGTTATTACTGTCGCGGGCGAATCGCGCCAGGCGGGGCGTTTAACTTAATTTGAGGTAATACTCCCGGACAGATACTTACGCTGATCGATGCTAATAGCTTTTATTGATATAGGGTAGGTGTTATTAGTTTACTAGCAGAGCTATACGGCCGTTGTTAGTAGTCATAAATTGCGCTAATATCTCCATTTCGCGCGTTCGTGAGACCGTCAAATTGCAGGCTGTTATGCATTTTGAGTTATTTGATAATGCATAGTTATTTGTCAAGGTGGAAATGCCATGTTTAGAAATAACAGATAAAAATAGATACTAGATTTTACAGCGCTATTGTTCATATGGGTATATTTTAATAGCATAGAATAGGCGAGATACCAACGAAGAGAGAATTACTCAAAGTACCTACTAAAGGCGTCATAACGAATTAATAAGAAATTGAACAGGATACTTTCTAACGGAGATCGCATTGAAGGCTTACTACTCAATGCAGCCAATAGCCTACATTTAGAGGGGGGAGGGGGTGTGGGGATTGTTAATAATGTGGACTAATGACTCCATTACTAGCAATGTCAGGTTGACCTCCACGCGGTTTCCTCTGATAACCATAGTGATAAATTGTTGGTGAATTTGTCACGATGGGCTAACTGACCTGACTTCATGTTCATTTTATCACCATCCACTGGTGCCCCGCCAGCGTAAACCTTTAGTGCATCGAGTGCACCATTCTATTATCATAAAAAAAATAGTCTACACGTTATATTAACATTCCTCCATCCTCCCCAGTATTATGGTTTTTAATGAATGATGATGAAATTGTGTTAACACGGGCGCTAAAAATAACGCCTAACTCTGTCGGGGCATTCAAGGCAAGGCAAGATGAATTTACTAGAAATAACCATAATAGTTTCCATCAGTACTGACACATTGTAATGTGACCTACAAACTTTGTTATAATTAATTAACCAATACTAAATATTGTCCACTTATTGCTGTTTCATAATTACGGACAACTTAGAAAATCGAATGTGAGGGGGATGTGGAACACTGATTATACTGTTCCATAAATACGGTCCTAGAAATTTTTGCGGCAATTGCCGTTCTTTTCCCTACAAGACTATATTTTGTTAAGTATATAGCTGACTCAAGCTATCTCAACATGAGGACAACGCAATTATATATTTTTTGGCATGAATTATAATAATTATTAGGTTTACATAGAAAGTATTCAGTTCTACACATTAATCAAAAGAGTGTATATTCAATGGAAGGTGTCGTAATACGTGTTATGTTTCTGGGTATTTAATAAGTAATTAAAACGTTGAATACGTCTCGAGGGTTAATTTTGTCTAATTACGTTTACAACTAGGAATCACCGGTCGGATTGGAGGTGTCAGTCAGCCCCTGTTGTGTTGCGTTTAGATCGTGAAAGCTGCTCGACTGCCGTATCGGCAAGTATTTAGTCCAGTAGCAACATATCAGAGAATTAAGGCGTATTTTGTTGTAATTTTATTTTATAATTATTTTTCATAAAAAATATGTAACTAATGTGACATTATAGACGTACCTACTTTATAAAAATAAAGTATAGGTAATCGACAATAAACCTATCAGATGTGTTTGATAAGACATCAGTCTTAGTTTGATCTCACTAATTATATACATATGTTATAGTTTGAATTTTTTATAATAATTTATTAATATAAAGATTTTTCGAAACAAACTTGAGTAGTAGTGTTTTATTTATATTGAAATAAAATAATTGATCAAAATATAGCGGGACAGCACACGTGAAAGTCATTTCATATCTCAATAGGTGCAAATTGCAAAATGACAAAATTAATAATTGTTAACTTAGGTACTAGATAAAAAATTGTTCTATCGTTTAGCATATCTAATGCAGATTGCAACATATCTTCGGCTATCTTTACTTACCTTTCACTTAAAAATCTTTTGTTTTTTAATTGAAATTTGGATAATAAAATTTTCACGGATACTTTAAAACATTTGTGCGTATACCTACATTGACAGCTTACTGAATATCACAGCTAGCGCTAGCAACTAATCACTAAACACCTACAAAATCTAAACGAAGCATCGCCAGCATGATCCCTATAATTATTATTAACATACATCTCTTTCGCCTGTGGCCTGTAATTAAAACATAGTTAGAGCGGTCTCGAATCATATTAATAGATAACTATAACAGATGATTACATTAATAACGTAGGTATAAAGCATTTACACGTTTTTACATGCCAAATGTACTCGTAATTGATGGCAATAAATTATGAAACAATATTTACTAAAATCTTTCCTTACTGGTCTTCTTTGTTAATAACTTTATATATTTTGTTATAAAATTAGATTTAGTTAAGATTAGATGTTAAACCAAGCTAAGAAGTTGTAGCTAAGAATAGTTAAGAACTCGATTATGTCAGATACAAAAAGACACACAACTTTATAACAGTATTTTTTTGTATGTTGGTAGTTAAAAATGAATATAAGGAAACTATTAATTTTTACTAGAATAGAGATATATAGGTAATATCCCAATGTTTACGTCTTTCAAATATAAAAAACGAGCTGTGCTCGCGGTTTCAACCGCATAAAATTTGTAGCCTATATGTTATTCTGATATATAAGTTATATTACTGTAGAGTTTCATCAAAATCTGTTCAGTAGTTTGCTTGAAAGGGTGACTGATATAAATAAATACCTATATATACAGGAACACTATTTCCTTAAATCACTGCCCTTTAAATTAAAAGACAGCTTATAAAGCAAGCTGGTGGCTGAAATAGAAATAGGTAGGTACCTAAGTACTTACCCACGCAAACGACTTCTTACAGTCTAGTTCTGTGTGTTAATTAATTAATTAGTTTTGCAGAGTAGACAATTTAGAGGAGAGACAAGCATAAGCTGTAATGTATCTTTTTATACAAAAACAATTCATTACTTTAAAACGAGTTTTTTTCGGACTATTCTAATGCTGTTGGCCTTCATCGGACAACAGGAGGCGAGTGCAGATGACACTCCAAACCCGCGGAAGGATACGACTGTCTGAGGGCACCGCTAGGGTTTCGAACCTCGGCTCAGGCCGTCGTAATTTCGATCCCCGTTTGAATTGGACGGGGGATCGATCAAAATGGGACCAGTCAGCAATTTTTTTTCACTTTCAGAGAACAGCCACAATAAAAAAGTCGTTTTAAAAGTCTTTTCTTTTCGAACTTATTTCAAAATAATCATAAATACTAAATCATCGTACTCCACCAATAGTAATTTCTGTAAATACAAAACTGTAACTATTTTTCTAACCACAATACAAGTGAATGGGCGGGGCATAGCAAAAAGCTATTAACATGTCAATATAAAAGAGAAGGTGTTATAAACATGTCGTAAGTGGGAGGGGGACAGAGTTAAACGGGTCCCGGCTTCTTGAGCGCGAGTTCACAAAGCCTCCATTGTTTTCTGTGTAGAGTTGTTAACGCTTGTCTATGGATGTTGAAGAATGGCGTGATTTGTTTATGGATATATTGTCTATGATACAG